TATATATATATATATATATATATATATATATATGTTTATATATGTATATATTTATACACATGTATACATGCATACACACATACATGCATACATACATACACACAACTTCAAAATAACATAAATTCTCAACCTGTACTGAAAACAGTTTCTGTGTCTCAGTACCAACAGCTGGTGAGAGGTGGTGACGTCAATTTGAACCCCGCCCACTGGAACCGGTACTGAAAGCATAATGGAAACACAACCTGTACCGTACCGAGTCGAGTAGAGCCGGGCTGTACCGGCCCGTACCGGTACTAATGGAAAAGGGGCATAAGATGCTGTATTCAGGTCAGCCTTATAAATAGCACCTTTTGATCCACTCTGAGAAGTTGCCATTTATAAGACTGAGCTGAATACAGCACCTCAGACTGAAGAAGTCTTTCGGATGAAAGACTAAACGTTTCTACTTTTTTTTTTTTTTTTTTGCTTCATTTTGTTTTTTGAATGTCCAGAGGACCAGATTTTTTTTAGATTTTTCTACCTGGATTATCGAGCATGCATCAGGATATTTTTTAAATATCTTTTTAAATATTTAATAAATTTAGTCTCTCTTTATACAATCAAAACAAAACTTTTGACCCCTGGACAACAATGCACAGTTTGGAACATTGATAAGAAAGTGATATACAGGTAACAGGTGTGATGTAAATTTAGTTACCTGGATGAGGCCATCCCCTTTTTTGAAGCATGGATCTTTAACAAAGTCTGTCAAGTTCAGTGTCAATTGATGCCACAACCTGCCAACAGTGAAAACAGTGTCACAAAGAAAAACAACTTCAGTCAAGTTAGAAAATGAGACTGCGTTCAAATTTTTTTTTTAAAAACTGCAAAAACGTAGGATATACAGGTGCTGGTCATAAAATCAGGATATCATGAAAAAGTTGATTATTTCAGTAATTCCAATCAAAAAGTGAAACTTGTAGATTATATTCATTCATTACACACAGACTGATATATTTCAAATGTTTATTTCTTTTAATGTGGATGATTATAACCGACAACTAATGAAAACCCAAGGTTTCCTCTACATGTAATTGATCAAGGCGCAACGCCATGGTAAAATGAAGGCTGCCACACTTTCAGAATAAAGGTTTATATAGAATGAAATAAATTTAAATATCATGAAATGTTAAAATTTACTTTATTTTGAAAAGCCAACACTGCCGGCTCCTGCCTGTGAAGCTACGGTGCAGTACCGCTCTGTCAAACTAGAGACGAGTACAGTCAAAAGTAAAGGGAGAGAAAAGATGAAAGAAAAGATCCCAAGGAAGGTTAAGATGAATGCATTTTTAGTTCAAGCCTGTGACACAGTTACCTGCAAACTAGTCGCTTTTCACCGAAATTCACCAATTTCAAACTAAAATATGTCATTTATGTTAATCGTCTAGATCCAAAGAGTTTTTTTTTCTGGGAAGGGGTGGGGTCAGAGGAGGTGAATGGTATAATTTCCCTTTAAGAAACAGCGTTCCTTGTCTGTCATTTAGCTTAGCAGGTAGCAGGTGGGTGACTCATGAACCCATTCTATTGAATGGCTTGGAAGATTTTATGGGCATACTCGGGTTGTTTTATTTTTATTTTTTTACTCATTTTGGAGTCACAAATTCATTACAGTAATGAGTCCCAGGGGAAAAAAAAATGCTTTCATCTCAAATTTTCATTATAAATATTCAAGCAGGTTTATAAAAATATAAATTTATTTAAAACTACATAATTTATCAGAATATGATAAGATATCATGATTTCATATTAAGTAATTAAAAATATTTTAATAAAATTAAGTGTCCGGATGTGCAGCACTCACTACTGTTAAGAAATTTATCTAGACTGGTCGTGGGGTTTTTGATCTGCTCAGAGACGGGATTATAATGAAATTATGGCCCGGTTCTGACTGGGTTAAACTGGGCCAGAAACTCTAAAAAGAGTCTCCCTGGGATTCAATATCCACCAGGGAATATAGTTTAATCTGCTTGCTACATCACGTAGAAAGGCTTTTTAAACAGTCTCATTCATTAAGATTCATTCATTCAACCTTTATTTAAACAGATAAATCACATTGAGCCTCGAAGGGTCATTTACACGCAAGACCTGTTTGGAGAGACAAAAAACAGTGGTTAACTGGACACATGTAGGAGTTGGAGGCGAAAAAAATTCCTATCAGACTTTTTTCTTGCCTGAGAAAAAAAACCTCTAATATTAAAAAAAACACCTCACACAAACAAGCACATATTTACGTAGACATTCTGCAATTGGAGATGAGAGCGGTCAACAACGCTTATAGATGCTCTCAAAGTCACTGTAATCAGTCAATGTCCTCCGGTGAGATCCATTAACACTCTTGAGGTATGTCGAGGAATGGCCAAGAATAACATCTATGAGAATCCAAGAGTCCTGAAATGATGACACAAAGTTTATTCAGCTGGTTCATCTGCTTATCAGTTGGAAATTCCTCAGGGAAGGGGTGGTGAGCGTCAGATCTCATTTTCTCCAGGTGAATTCAGATAAGATGGCCTTCAAGGCCAGCCAAGGGGAGCCAACTTAGATAAACACACAGTTGTTTTGGGGACAGGCAGGACTCAATGACATCTACCTTGAGTCTGTGTTGATCAACTCTGTTCCGAAATGTCCAAAAATAACATGGCCACGCCAATGGAACGTGACTGAGTAAAATCCCCAAGATCTGATCAATTCAGCCCAAAGCATTTGAGTCTGGGTACACGAGACACGAACCAAGCCATTGTAGTGAACCTAACCTGATGTCAAACTAAGCCTAAGGTCAAAACCCTTGACCTTAAGAACTTTGTGGGACAGAAACTGTCATTTCATTGATTTGAATCCAGAAATACAGGTTCACCCATCCTGAGACTTTCTTTCTTGAAAATTCAAGTGAAAAGAACACTCTCTTTTCTATTATCATTACTATTTTACAAATGTTGATAATCAAAGTGTCTTAGTTCAAACCATTTTAGATGTTGCAGTGAACTAATCGATTTTATTAACTGAAACAGTGTAATGATTTTTAATTCTCATGCAAAGTTAGAATTCATGTTAAAGCTGTTACAGAGTAATTATGCATCTTCTGATTTCTGTCTTTGAATGAGCAAGTGTGCGTTCCAGGGTCAGGAGTCGAAGCAGACATGCGTTGGAACAACTGTCTTGTTTATATCCTCTCAGACGTCAACAGGGGGGTTTTGGCACCTGTTTCTAAAACTCGCCAAAACAAAACTCTCTCTGTCTGTGAGAACATTTCTGATCTGTTCCATAACAATTCTTGCTGTCTTCTAACCTCTTACGTCACAAAACACACCCCGTCTGGTCGGTTCTGACCAATGGGAAGACTCCCGAATGAACCGGGAAAAGAGCTCTTTAAAATGTCGGTACTTCCTGGTTGACTCAGTTCAGTTCTGTGAGGAGTTCGGTTCTGTGGGAGTTGGGATGAGTTCAGTTCTGTTCGGTTCTGTGGGTCGGAGAAGTTTGGTTCTGTGAGAGTTGGGATGAGTTCAGTTCTGCGCGGAGAAGCCCAGTTCTGTTGGTTGGAGAAGTTCGGCGGCGCGGACAGTTCTGATATGTCCTAGCGCTGTGCAGTAGCTGTGGGAGCCGGGAAGACCCTGACATGACCACAGAGCTCTTCCGAGTTTCATGGGATTATAACATTTTCCACTGAGGTGAGCTTGTGTCGGACAGAATCTCGCCATTACTCCGGACGAGTAACAGCATCCTACGGAGACGCTGAAGGGTGCGTTAAACGGAACCTCGCCTGAGACATCTCCAGGTAAAAGAGTCGATTTCACCACCTAAGTGTACTGTAAGGAAAAAGCTGAAGAAAGCCCGGAGAGTGCCGTTCTGTTCAACACTCTCCCTCAAACACCATCCTTACTCCCTTTAACTTCCTTCCCATCTTTAAACTCTTCTCTCAAGTAGAAATTCTTCCAGATATTTTAGAAATGTCTGTGTAAAGTGCTCATCCACCGCCGTGTGGCTAAAAAGATCATAATTGTACAGTTTTCATAAATGTCTGTGGTGAAGCAACGGAAAAATCATGGCCGTATGATTTTTCCTGATTGATTGCTTTTGTTGTTATTTTCATAATTTGCCAAATTACTGTAAATGTTTGATGTTAAACTTTGATTCTGTAAATAAATGACCGCATTCATTTTGATGGGTCAAAGATAAATGACGTCTCACGTTTGCATTTCCTTAAATTCAATGCACGTTTTATTCAGTCCAGAAAAATGAAGAATCCGTGTTAATTGATGAATATATCTGAGCATCTGTTCATCTACACCATCATAAAGGCAAGTAGCAAGATCGGGTCCAAATTTGCTGCCGATGGCTTCCTTGATTGATTGATAAAACCAGCACAAGCTGAATCCAAAATAGTAGGAACCAGTTATCGAAAATCCAATTAAATATGCGTCTTTAAAATCCACAGATGGCAGCAGAGAAAGACACATCATCAAGTCTTCCAAGTCGATGAGATATCTAGCTGCGTGCATGCCAACAGGGCAAATCGGCTCGCAGCCCGTCTTCTCTTCGAAGAAATGTTGTAAATTGAGTTGAGGGACCAACTGGTCAAAACAGTCCATAATTATGGTTCGGAAGAAATGCAAGAGAGTCTCACACCAATTTCACAGACAGAGCAGCAAAGCGGAGAGGGAGGGGGGAAGCATCCGATCTCGGCTAGAGCAAGTGGTGAATTGAGATCACACTTAGTCACGCCCTCTCATACACTGACAGGTTGAACTCCCCTTCTGTGAAGGAGGAGTCTAGGACCCTATAAATGAGTAATGACACGTGAACATCTGGGTTCTTCCGGATTTGTGATCACGTCACAGACCAGAGAAACCAGCGCTGTAAACTGTAACCTTTTCCTGCCTTGATTTAATACAATTGGTAAAACTAAATTCATGTTTCCTTGATTTATTGTTAGTGTGAGTTGCCACTTCTGAGGGAGATTCAAGCCAGGGGGGAAAGCGACGTGGGCTGGAGGCGGGTCCTGGGTTCAAGAGGGGGCCTCTGGGTAACCTGTGGCCCGCAGCCAGCCCTCGTCTCGACATAATAGCTGGTGCCTGAAACCCGATCTCCCATCTTTATAAGTGGTAGCTCGTTTCTTATTGTTTAATGGTGACACAGCAGCAGGTGACAGAGTCTGAGCAGACTGTTTCTAGCCAGCTTTTAACATGAGGTAAGTGGAAAACCTGTTAAATCTAATTTCTGCGTGTCCCTTAAGGACTTCAGGCTGCTCTGAATTCGGTCCGGTGCGCGCAGTTTAGTGAAAAAAAGGCAGTAGAATGTTACATCCGATAAACACGCTCACAAAATCACTTATTATACTACTGTAACAATTTATATACGAGACATTTTTTTCACCTGGGCGTGCATGGAGCAAACCGGAAGAGTTAGCAACAACGCTAACTGAAAATTAAGCGTTGTCCAGTTGATTTAAATGCCCGTATATAAAATATCGACGAAGCTGACGGTTTAAAGCCCCACATAAAAACTGTGACGTTATTTTAGCTGACGGGAGAACCTTTACAAGAAATGTGCTCAGTTGGAAAGACATTCTGGGTGTAATTACCCGTCGCCGTTTACTGGAAACGCGTTGAAACTTGGATGTCTGGACAGCGTCAAGCGGTGTGGTCATGTGACAGTTTTAAGAAAACTCTACTGGGTTTTTGGGTACCTTTGAGGAGCCTTGCTAACTTCTTGAAATAAGTTGATGACCTTGGGTTTCTGTTTA